TGTTGGAAACCAAGGTGTGGACCTGGCATGCTAGAGCACATCCATAACCTTAGCTATTCAGGAGGATGAGGCAAGAGGATCACAAGTGCAAGGCCAGCCTGGACAACTTAGCAAGACCCTGCTTCAAAATTTAAAAGGCTAAGCTGGGTGTGGTGGCGCACGCCTCTAATCCCAGCACTTGGGAGGCTGAGGCAGGAGGATTGTTGCAAGTTTGAGACTAACCTGGGCTACAAAGTGGGCATCAACAACAACAACAAACAATTTAAAAGGCAAGGGATATAGCTTAGTGGTAGAGTGATACTGGATTTAATTACCAATACAGGAAAAAAAGCTCAAAGGGGAATCCAAAAAACAGTTTACAAATCAAGAATATTGCCTCAGAGACCTAGAGAAAACATTCCTAAAATTCATTTGGAACCAGAAGAGATCCAGAATAGCAGAAGCAATCCTGGGAAACAAAAGTAAGGCAGGAGACGTCACAATCCCCAATTTGAAATTATACTACAAAGCTGTTGTGATAAAATCAGCATGGTATTTGCAAAACAAAAAAACCCCACAGACCTGAAGATCAATGGAACAGACTAGAAAATGCAGACACAACCACAAAGACACTCAGCCACCTTACCTGATAAAGGGGTCAAACATGTTCACTGGAAGAAAGATAGCCTCTTTAATAAGTGGAGCAGGAAAAACTGAATTTCCACTTGCCAAAGACTAAAACTAGACCCAAGCATATCACCATGCACCAAAATAAAGTCAAAATGGCTTAAAGATCTAAATATTAAAGAAACAGAAACACTAGATCTATTGGAAAAGAAAGTAGGTGGAAGTTTTGAAGTCATAGGGGTAGGTAGAGAGTTCATGAACAAAAACCAAACCACATGGAAAGTACTTCAAAGAATCAACAACTGGGATCTCATTGAAAAGCTTTTGCACATCAGAAGAAATCACCAGCAGGGTGAAAAGAAAACCCACAAATTGGGAAAAAAATTTAGCCAACTGTCCCTCAGACAAAGGACTCCTGTCTAGAACGTATATAGAATTTTTAAAAAGTCAGGCCCCCCAAATTCAAAGAACCAATCCAAAAATGGGCATCTGAGATGATTACACACTTCTCACATGAAGAAATACTAATGGCAAATAAATGCATGGAAAAAGTGTTCAATGTCATTAGTCATTCGATGGTGCTGGGGATAAAGCTCAGCAGCATAAGCACCTGCTCGGCGAATGCAAGGTCCTGAGTTCAATTCCCAATACCAAAAAAAGAAAAATGTCATTAGTCATTTGAGAAATGCAAATTAAAACAACACTGAGATTCCATCTCACCCCAGAAAGAATGGCTAGCATCAAGAAATCAGCCCATAACAAATGCTGGAGAGCCTGTGGGGAGAAAGGAACCCTACTCCACTGCTGGTGGGTGTGTAGATTGGTGAAACCACTGTGGAAATCAGTGTGGAGATTCCTTAGTAAACTAGGATTAGAGGTTCCATTCAACCCAGCTATTCCTCTCCTGGGTATTTGTCCAGAAGAATTGAAAACATCACAGCAATATATGTGCACCCATGTTTATAGCAGCATAATTTGTAATAGCTACATCTTGGAAACAACCCAAATGTCCATCAACTGAGGAATGAATAAAAAAGATGTGGTATTTTTATACAATGGAGTATTACTCAGCTATAAAGAAAGATAAATGAGGCTTTTATGGGTAAATGGATACAACTAGAGACCATACTCATGTAAATCAGATTCACATGTGTAAACATTGTATTTCCTTCCTACTGTAAGAACCTGAAAGAGTAAATAAAATCTGAAAGGTACAGTAGATACTGTGAAAGGGAAAAGAAACTGCTCAAATAGGAAGGAGCAGCTGGGGTGAAGGAGGGGAGAGGAAAAAGCAGAAGGAAAAAATATGTATATGTACACACAGGATAGCTAGTATAATTGTACTACTAATAACTTGGTTTATTAAAAGGAACTGTTAGTGTGTAATTGTTTGATCAATCTTGCATGCCAGCAGCTGGGGATTTAGCTCAGTGGCACAGCGCCTGCCTGGCAAGTGCAAGGTCATGAGTTTGATCCCCAGTACCCGAAAAAAAAAAAAAAAATCTTGCATGCCTATATCTGGTTATATGTACAACCATTTTGAAGATAACATTATGTAATATAACAACCATTGTTAATATGGTATCACCATGTTTTGAAATTCTGTATCATTTTTATTTTCTATGCTGTTTTGTTTATGTATTTGTTTTTGTTATTTTGTTTTTTTTTAAATGAAAAACATATGTATATATAAGGAGAGCTGGAATAGGTGTATTGCTGATGTCTGTGGTTTATTGAAAGAAACAGTGCTTAACAGTTTTTTTTTTCTTGATGAATTTTGCACACTTGAATCTGGTAATCAAATGACTGATCTGAAAACAACAATATGCAGTATAAGAACCATGGTTGAACTCCTACCATCTTGTATGGTGAAGCTCTGCATCATTTCCAATTTTTTTTTTTTATTACTTGTTACTGTCTTTGTGTGATCAATCTTACATTCTTATGTCTGGTGGACTGAGCAACTTCACTGAAGATAACAGTGTGTAATGAGGCAACCATTGTTAATTCCTATCATTTTGTCTTGAGGTTATGTATCATCTTTTTGTTTGTTTGTTTTGTTTTTTTTCCGGTACTGGGAATGGAACTCACGACCTTGGGCTTGCCAGGCAGGCGCTGTGCCACTGAGCTAAATCCCCAGCTCCCAGGTTATTTGTCATCTTTGTTGTATTTGTGTG